AATTAATTTTTGTTTCTAATATAAAAATGTTAGAAAAAATCATGGGGCTGAGGGCTGTTTAGTAATTTGGTATACACAAAGCTATAAAAATAGGTGTCGCATTTATTTTTCGGTCAAACTTATCATCGACAAGGCACTGACGGCCAAAAGCACCGTTATCCGACGTGGCCCAAAGAGATTCCGACGGGGCAAAACGACACTCGAATAGTTCCCGGCAACAACCTGACCGGAGGCCCACAATAAAAGAATTGAAAAAAGCAAGAAAACAGGGAAGTGGAAAGTGGAAACTAAAGCTATGAATATTAATAATATCCGTCCTCAGCCACAGGCACAGGCTTCGTATATCGTTAACCCTTTTGCTGAAAACTCTGGTAAATCCGTATTTAATTGCAGAAACCATAGCACGAAAATATATACTTTTTCCTCTTTTGTGCTTCTCAACGGTTCGTGCTGTTGATACATTTTTCTGGGTTTTTTTTTTCTTTTTAAATAAATCCCTTTTCATGCCTATCTAAATGCTGAAAGTATTCATTGTAGAAAAACTTCACATTTGCGGAAAAATTGTGTGGAGAAAGATGGGTTTTTGGGGATATTTAGGGATTTGAAGGAGGGCCCCTTTTTAGGGGATATTTTGAGGTAAAGNCCGAAGATAGTGGAGAACTATGAAGGATCTGTTGGGTAGTCCTGGGACTGTGACTGGTTTGCTCTTAAGAATTGGGCAGTGCGTTTTCGCAGCTGGATCCATCGGAGTTATGGTTTCTGCTTTGGGATTTTCTAACTTCACTGCTTATTGGTATGGAGTTTTAAGCTTTCTGTTTGTCGTTTTAAGGTTCTTGCTGGTTTGATGGTCCTTAAATTAATTCTTGTTGATGCACTTTTTTTAGTCTGTACAGTAGCTGGCGGGGTTTTACACTATGATTCCTGTCGTAAATTACATAAATTATCCAAAAGGGAAATATACAATAATTGAAGTAATTAGAGGTCTTATCATGTTTAGGTGAATGTTCTTTCTTTCTTTCTTCCTTTTTCTTTTTTTGTTTTCTATTATTTGCTTCTTCCTAAAAATGGCTATCAGGATGTAGCAGATTTTAGCATATTTCTAGAATCTGGTTGATTTGAAAGGTTGAATGTCAGTTTTGACTGTCGAAATTGGTGGATTATTCGTGTATTTGGGGGCGCTTAGTAGCATGAATTTGATGTTTTTCTAGTATCTTGTTAGTCTGCAAATGAAACTTGTTTACGAAAACTTGTTGAGTCGAGTAAGATACTCTGTACGTGTTTTTATGCCAAGGAAAATCTGTTAGGCTTGCTCATATTTGTTCATTCGAAGCTCTTTACAACACCCCTTCACCAAAGGTGTTAGCTTACAGCAATGAATCTTTATGCTAATGCATAATATAACTTGATGATGATTCCCTTGAATTTAATTAATTTTTATTGGAGATTTGCAGAGTGATCTCAGCTACTTTGCTCACAGAACACGCTCTTTATAACTAGTTTTTCTCATGCACTACAGAAATGTGCATTTCCTTGTATGTTTTAAAACAAGGCCTTTGAACTTTACCCATCAATTGACAATTTAGTGTAATTATAACTTTTTTGTATTCAGCTATCTCATTGCATCAATGGGCCTTCAAGTGCTATGGAGCTGTGGACTTGCGTGCCTCGACATATATGCTTTACGGATAAAAAGAGACCTCCATAGTTCAGTCCTAGTCAGCTTGTTCGTGGTTGGTGATTGGGTAATTTCTATTCCTTTCATTATCAATTGCTAATCTTTGTTTTCCCAAAATGTAGCCCCTTTACACAAAATTTTCCTACATAGTATTTTTCCTTCAATTTCATTTGATGGGCTATTAAATATCGTATGGTTGGCTTTTCCCTCAAACTTCTAGATTGCATTATTAAGAACTGTTTTGTTTGCTGGTAAAACTAGCTGATAAGTTAGCTTATAGCTTTTATGTGAATTTCAAGCGTATAAAGGCTAATGTTTGGTAAAACTAGTTGATAAGTTAGCTTATAGCTTTTAAGTGAATTTCGAGTTTATAGTTATTATCTTATGACTAATGGCTGAAGCTAGCTTATATGATAAAAGTGTTTCGATAAAATTAGCTTATCAGCTAGCTGAAATAAAAAATTCAATTAGCTTATTTGAAAATCTACCCAAAGAAGCTTATGAGATAAGCTGGAGCTTTTTAGAAAAACTCGTCCTACCAAACCAAGCTATTTGAATACAAAAAACTTATAAGCTAATCAAATAAGCTATAATCTAGCTTATATGCTTACCAACAGGACGAGGTTGTTTATATACTGCGAGTGTTCACAACACAGCCAAAATGTGGTCCTCGGCATTAGCAAGAAAAATCTGACTATTTGCCTGGTTAAATTTTTCAAAAGCCGTGTTTATCTTTTGGTTTCGAGCCTCATTTGACTAAAAAAAAAACGCAGGTTACGGCCACACTATCACTTGCTGCTGCATGCTCTTCGGCAGGGATTGCGATTTTGTATGCCAAAGACTTGAAATTTTGTACAGGAGCGAATCATATCCCGTGCCGAAGATTTGAGCTCTCGATAGCTCTTGCATTCGTCACGTGGTTCCTCATTGCCATGTCTTCTCATGTGATGTTCTGGATACTTGCATCCGGTTAGCTCTTTTTTTTTTTTTTTTTTTTTTTTGNAATTAGAAACTTGCTTCTGGTTGGTTTACTCTTCATCATTTATGGGTCTTTTATTTTCAAGCGAGTCGGTATATATTTTGAACCTATTGGAGGTATTTTAGCTGATGTCGATTGCTAGTTTGGCTTTTTGTTGCTTACTTTTTGCTGCAAAGTTTTTGTTAGTGAATATTTCTCAAGTAACTGACAAAGATTCACTGCAATGACTCAGAAAATACTTAGAGATTACAAATTTTTGGAGCAAAGCTAAATGAATTAATCTATCTAATAAAAGATATATCGTGCTTGTTTGGGAGTACGTTTGGAAAAGTTTATTTCTTAAATGAACTTATGCAAAATGGACTTGTTCAAAAATCCTCATCCCGTGCTTCTATATAATGTACTTTTTGGAGAAACAACTTAGCTATAAGTTCATTCTTAATTTAGCACCAGACATAAATATTGATCGGCACCTTCATTTAGGTACTTTTTTGTCACTTAGTTTGCTCAGTAACCCAAATGATGCATGAGGTTGGTTTTGAGCTTAGAATGTGGGCAAATTCGACCCCACGAGAGTTTTTAGCAATCCCAATCACGAACAGTCTCATACATACTCGTGCAGATGCGAGCTGTTAAAAGAAACGAGTCATTCGTAAGATCAGCTCGACTCGACTCGACTTGACTCGTAAAAGGCTTGTTATTAGGCTTGATAAACATTGGTTTTTTACGTAATTTTCTGAACTTTGTAACGTAATTCGATGCATTATTTTATCTGTTCGATAAGGGTTCGAGCCAAAACTAGGGTATTAGAGTTCGACTTTAACTCGTTTATAGCTCTATCAAGGATTGGTGAAATGTGATCATGAACAAACACCATCTTCCACGAAAAAAATGGCGGTTTTATCTTCTTTTTTTTAATTAAAAAAAAACACCAAGTTTAGAGATTTTCATCAAATTTGATCTACTAATTTAGGGATAAGAATATGGACTTGAAACCACAGATTGGAACGTTTTGACTTCACTTAACGCAACTAATCTAACGTATATCGTTTGTTCTAAACATTGCTTGTAGTTGTAATATTTTGACACTAGTTTTCAGATAGACCTTAATAAAGACAATTATTCATATATATTTGTGATGAATATGCATAGATTCAGAAAGTTATATAATAATGTATGTGGCTGCGCTCTACATATTCAAAATTTATTTCTTAATCCAATAATTCCAAAATTCTTGATAGACTGTACCAATTATAAGGAAAATTTATTTATATACCATTATGTTTTTTTCAAGTCATACTATTGCTGAAATGATTATATATTAAATTGAGAAAATATAAAAAATAACCTTTATACAGTATTTATTATTCTTCTCATTATATGGACTAAAAAAATCGACAATAATTCTAAAAAAGTATCTAAAAATATCCATTTTAGGTATTTGTACCTGTGGAAGTAAAAGAACCATTACAAGTCATATTTTACCTCTAAAAATCCACAATTCATATTTTACTCCACAAAATCAGTTAATTGTAAATCAATCTGACAAATTAAATTAACTCGTTTTTTCTCCATAATTGTGCGGAGGAGACGACTATAACATTTCTAGTGACCAAGTCGGGTTGAATTCATAATACATGACTGATGCCATTGATCATAGAAAAGAAAACTAAAACCATGTTCCAAAATAATAATAAATAATTAAGCACCCAAAATATCATTATTGATTAATTTCTCCTTTTTTTCCCCCTTCATTTCAGAACAGATGCACAAACACTATTTACAATTTGGCATACTTCACACAAATTAAAACACACACAAGATCATATGTGGACCCTTTATTCCNAACATAAACACGTGCAAGACAATTCAATAAAAACACAAAATCAAACACAAAGTTTACGTGCCCTTAATTGACCGCCGGTCGCTGCCCGATGGCCTGCCTGGCGGGCGGGCGGGCCGGCGAACAGGCGGCAAAGCCTCGATCTGGACGGAAAAGCTGAATCTCGGTGGCCTGAAACCGGCCAGAGTCGCCCGGGAGCCGCATATAAGAAGCCGAAGGCGACTCGTTTATCCAAGTCCCGATTAACCCTTGACCGCCATTTTTGTATTGAACTATAGCTTTATACACAAATGGAATCAAACCCTCCATTTTCTCTCTAGATTGTGTGTTTTAGTGTGTGTGTGTTTTTTTTGTTCAACAAAGGTTTGGATTAAAAAGGGGTTGAGGATGATGACGTGGCGTAGTGAAATGGGTTGGGTCCAAGCTGGTTACGCTAAGATATATAAAGATTGATGAGGGCACGAATTGATTTTTTTATTATTAAATGAAGAATGATTAAAAAAAGGCATTATTTGAATTTGAAAGTTGTGTCTTAACTACATTCTCATTTAACATCTTACCAAACCCTAGCTAAATAGAATTTTTTGGCGTGCCTTGTATGTTACTATTTTGTAAATGATTAGATTGGCTTAATCTTTTGTTGTGTGGTGGTTTTGTGGATTGTTATTTAAATCAGTTGCTGTTAAAGAAAGTTATATTTGTTAAACGAAATGAGTTGTTCGCGAGTTCGATTTGGGTTCGGCTTGTTGAGGAGCTCGAGTCTAATTAAAGGTCATTAACTCGACGTGACTCGTTAAAACTCGTCTCGATCGACAATTATGTTAACTTTTTATGTAATTTTATATAGTTCAACTCTACATATTGATAAAACGAGTCGAGTTCGAGTTTGTTTTGTTTAGTTATATTCGATAAAGACTCAAACTTGAGGCGAGTATGAAGTTTTGAGTTCGGCTCAACTCGTTTATACTTTTAGGTAGAATTAAAGTTTACACATAATTCTTAAACATAAATGTGTATTTTTAAGTTAGAAAATTCTTACTCTAAACAATATAATAAAGAAATTACAACATTTTATAGTATAAATATATTTTGTAAAAGCACCCTAACTAGTGGATAGAGTAGCCCATTCAAAAATTTGAGTCATTTTTTATATATTATATATATATATATATAGGATGTGGTTCAAATAAGGACCAAGTTCTAGCGTGAGAACCGCTATTTTTTATTATATGAAGTACTATGATTGATTGTATCTTAGTGCTATTTTTAACCAGGATGCATTTTGTTAAAAATAACAACACAATTTATATTAGCATTCATGAAAATAATAGTATAATGTAATATTAAAATATGTTGGTTGGATTTTTTTAATCAAAATTGTCCGCAACTTTCGTCATTGATTAGTCATTTAAATTGATCGAGAGTTGAAACTATGAAGATACGCCCACCATGAAATACATATCGTCAACCATAACTGATAAAAAGATAATGTGAATAATAGTCTATACATATTGTTTTATAAAATAACGAACTTTAAAATCAAGTGTTCAAAAATATTTCAATAATATATATCTAACTATGTGGATATTGATGGTAACTTGTGTGGTAATTAAGAATTTAGGGTAACCGATGTTTTTGAATGGATTCATCAATTGCAACTTGGGAATTTAATTAATAGAAATATTAACATAAATGTTGAAATAGAGTAATTTTAAATTTAATTAATAGAAATATTAACACAAGCACAATACATGTCAGTGGCTCAAGCATCCAATCACAACAAACCCCAAATATTAAAACAACTAGTATTCGACCTGTGCATTTGCACAAATATAAATAAATTATTGTGAGTCTGTACATATAATGATTAATTATTTTTCTTTCACTTTTTTGCAGACCAAATTTACAATTAAAAGAGTTGGAATATTTTTATTTAAATTGTGTTTATCTGATTGGATGTAATGTATATTTTGGTACGTCTTTTATTTATGAATTATTTATTATTTATTTAGGAATTTTAAATATATATTTTATTTTCAAAAAAAACAATTAAATGTAACAACAATAATAACATCTAATCACATTATACGGTCAACACATTATATGGTCAACTGTCATTAATCAAAAGTTTAAAATGATTTTTGTAATTTTGAAGTGATGAGTATTAATTACTTAATGATTAAATGAAATATTAAATATATCAAAATGTAACGATTTTTGGAGGGAAAATTATTAAATTGCCACATAGGTAAAATTAAATAGGTTTTATTAAATTCTATTAGCTAGTAATTATATATATATAGATCTTTCATGTCATTAAGGTCAAACTTGAAAGATAACATTTAATTATTAGTCCTCCCTTATTTTTATAAAACTATATAAGCGCGCGCACACACACACACACAAAAAAACACAAACACACACACACAGTTTTGGAAGGTTACTTGGGCAGTTTCATGTCATTAAGTCAATCTTCAACGATTACCTTTGTAGTTATCCACTGATTTTATTCTTAAACTTTATACAATTAAGCGCTAGTTGTCGCTTATGCCAATGATTAAGACACAAGTAAATGTTTTTTCAATCTAAATAATTATGATTTTATAGAAGCCGAAAGTTAATTTTAAAAATTTGTATTGCATCAGCTAATGCATAATTTTCTTTGATTCCTTATGTGAGGATGAACTATATTGTTAATAAAGATAAACCCTATTTATTTGGTTTACACTATCTGAATATATGTTATATAATACAATTAAACCTTCTAAGTCGTGAATTAAGTGTTTCAATTTTAAAATGGCCGTGACAGCTTAACTACAGCTTCTCTCATTTATGAAACGCGTATATTTTATAATTATGAATCCAAGTCTTCAAAGCATTAAAAAGAGACGATTTTATCTGACTTAAACAAGAAATTATTCATAGGACAATGAGGTTCTACCTAATGACAAATGATTGTATTCACTTAGCTAAAATAGCCTTTTCGCCTTTTTTTCTCGTTCTTTTTTACTTTTTTCACCCCTTAAAACCCTTTAGTCCACATGTACATATAATTTAAACTTTAAGAAATATTATTATTATTTTGTTTTACTCTTCACACTCATGTGTATATACATTTATATGCCAAAAAAGTGTTATATAATAAAGTCAATCTTTAGTATGTATATAAATCT